AAGTGTTTAGAGAACTTTTGGGAGAGAATGAACTTAAGTTTTTGGAGCAATGTGGGGCTATATATAGGGGTGTGGCCAGCCCTATTCGGAGAAATAGGGACTGGCCACTTACGGTGGAATTCATGCTCTAATTGCAAGATATTATGTCAAATAATATTTTGCAATTAATTTGGTAATTAATCCCAATTTGAAAAGAATAATTGGGAGTTATCTTGTGGGTGAGGATTTGATGAAGAGTGATGAGAGGATATTGAATAAATACCATTTTGATCACCTTTGACCTCGATTAAGCCGTTATTGTCCGTTGCATGCTTGCAGGAATCCCGATTTGCCTCAAGGGTAATTTTGTCTTTTTACCCAAAAGTCCACATGTCGCCTCCATAATTTTCTTGATTATTTTTGGCTCCACATGAATCATGACGATTCTACAACACAACATAGCAATCATGCTACATCACAAAGAATTACAAAAAGGACATAGAGAGAAACATGTCTATGCAAGGGAGTGAAGGTAGGTTTGGCCCCGTGCGGATCAACTCTTCATGGCAAGTTCGGCTCATACAAGGACGGAGCTGTATAGGGCTTAAGGGGGGCATCCACCCCCACTTAATTTTGTGTGTGTGGTGTATGTACTTTTGCATTCCAATTCCCAAGCCCTAATTAAACTACAAATGAAAAAATGGATTGTATTTCAATTCCAACGTCTGTTCTAATTAAACTATAAAAAAAATGGTCTAGTGGAAAAAATACAAGGTGTATCCGCTAATTTACATGTTTGTGACATTAGTACTAACTCTTCCAATTGCTACTGCCACCGTTGAAAGATCATTTTCGGCCATGAAATTTCTGAAAAAATCGATTGAGAAATCAATGGATGAATGATAACATGATTATTTTTATAGAGAGAATATTTGTTGGTATTTGGTAATGATATTGGCATGCACCGCTTTCAAACACATGAAAACGCATCGAGGAATATTGTAAAATGTTGTATGAAAAACTTTATGGATTAATATATAAGTGTCTTGTGTAGTGAATTCTTGAGTTTTTTAATTGTACTTGTGTTTGAGGATGTCCCCATTCTTACAAATATCTGGCTTCAACCCTGGGCTCATAGATCCTTCTCTGCAGTCTACATGCAACCCAGTTTGAGTATATGAACACTCCTACTTGGGAAAGTGCTCTCACAAAAACTCTGGGGGCAATGTAATCGTGCCGGAAATTCATTCGCATACTTGAATGATTTTCAATTTAAAATCTGATTTCCTGCATGAATTTCAACACTAGGCCAGTTAGAGAAGGAAGTTAAGATGTCTATGATCGTTGTATTAAGGTTTTAGAGTTTTCTACAAAGCCAATTTTCCGATTTTACGTATGAAGATAGTTGAAGCTGTATTCCAGTCAGAACTGTACAGCTATGAAAAAACAAAGATTTCAAGGCCTTCCTGATTTTTAGTCATGACATGCCACATATACTTAGATAAGAAGTCAAGCTACAATATTCTTATTTTCCAAAAGAAAGAACAGTCTCAAATCAGGCACACAAAGAAGCTGAACAGCAAGCCAGCACAAGCAGCAAGTCGCAGCATAAGAGACAACTTCCTAGATTAAACTGTACATGCTCGAAACAAACTTGGGTTTTGTAGCATACATCATCGCGAAGATACTTAAGTCTACTTTGTGTAGAATTTTGTGGAACTCAATTCTGAGTTACGTGAAAGACGTTATTGCCATTTTACTACTCATAGCGCAAGCTGAAATGTTCTGCGAGATTCCTCAAGTTCTTCCTCCTAATTCATATCAAGCAACATACAACATGCCTCGACAACATATGAATTCAAGATGCACACAGTCATGATCAAGTCAACGGAACCTAACGGTTCCAACAAATTCAAGTCTGCTCTGATGAGCTAAAATTGAAGGCCATCCACAAAGCATTGGATGACAACTCCACATTTTGTCCTTGTCCACTACTAGTGTGTAATGGAAAAGGACAGGAGGCATACCATATGGAGTAAGAATAAAAATTTCATGAATCCGAATGACTCCCACACCACATAGCAGTTATGAATCTAGATTCCCATACTTAAAGAAGTCTGAACGGCAAATTACTTTGCCTCACTTTAAAACCATTGGAGTAAGGCGGATCGAAGTAAGAAGTGCCTTCGTAGTCTGGTCATGGACTCAACAGCTCCGAGCTGAGTTGGATCATATTGAGCAATGATGCCACCATCATCTTGCTCCAGTAGGCGAAGTCCGAGCAACTTCGCTAGAATGACCATGTTTGTTCCACAAGACACGGAAACCTAATCCAACAAGGAATCAACAGGTTTCCTATAAGTCTTGGAGTTCCTATAATCTAGGAATTGGCGTGCGCGCAAGTAATCACACTTCTAAGAGGACACAATATCTATCATTAGATATCCTTTGGAATTCTCAAATGCATCATCAAAGACAAACAAGGAAAACAACTAGAAGGCCCATCTAACAAGTGAACAACCTTGGTCCAAACCATGGTATCACTCCAAGAGATAAGTACCTATTTTATTATATACACGATTAAATGCATGTCCAGGACAAAAGACCCAAACTAGGAATGATCTTTTCAGATCCTCACACACCATTGTTTGTTCTTTCTTACACCATTCATTATGGTACATGGAATACCTTAAATTCTAGAATTATGAAGAACTTTCAAACTTCGCACGAATGCAAGTCTAAAAATTCAAAGTGGTCAAAGGAGTATCTGTTAAGCCCATCCCATATTGTATGGTTAGCAGCTTGAGAGGCTCAAACCGTAATAAGCGCAGTTACAATTGATAGGCTACGGGCATGGAGACATGGCGCCCTAACCCGAGAGTTTAGTGCACCATTTGACCTCCAGAAATATTATACAACCAGAAAGGTTGTGGGTTATAACATTCAAATATGGGCTCGACGCCATTCCAGGGAATAGTTGAAAGGGCGATCTGGAAATCATCCGAGGTTGGCTCTAAACTTCGACCCTGAGTATAACTACTTCTATCCTGAACCAACCTACTAAGCAAGTATATTCTTCAACACCATGTGTTAAGCAGGTTCGAATGAGGTATCTAGACTACGAAATCCGTAAGAGAATTTTACAGAGCTCCGATACGCAGAAATGCCTTAGCCAAGCCAGCTAAGTGTAGTTAGATTGGAAACACTTAGGTCCAACGCATAGAGTCTGACAAAAGGGTTCAAGAAGTGTTTCCGACTCACATGTAGGCGACCAAGTCCTTAACGAACTTTCGTTTAAGATTTACTAAGGATAAATCAGCAATTTGGACTGAGAAAGAAGCCTTCTTGGTTACACGTTGCATTATTAAAATCCTCTGACCTAGAATGGGGCAAAGGTGAAAGAATGAACGGAATATACAAACAAAACAACTCAAACATATCATACTGACATTAAAATCTGGGCCATTCTGGGTATGTTTCGACACTTTTTCATCGTTAATCTGATCAATGCATTACCGCAAGTCTAAGGCAAAAGGTTTTCCATGTGTTTAATATTTGACTCTTGGTACCAGAGTAAGATGGTACTCTAAATATCGCTATGGGAATCTTTATAAACTCTAAGTTTGGGAGGTAACATTTTTCCTAATCAACGTCATCGAGAGGGTTTTGATGAACTCTATCTCGAGCCCACAAACTTACTTGTGTTTCACCTCAGTACTTCGTACTTCAAAATTAACTTACTTCGGAAAGATTGACGGATTAGACTATATTCTACAATTAGGAAGCAAAGGATGAAAAGTTCCAAGTGTTTTACTCTAACATGCTTAATGACTTGAGTAAAATAAACTTAGAAGAAAACTCTTGAGGCATCTAAGTCCTTCCAAGAATATATAGGCGCAATCCGCTTCGCATCCAACGTTTCAACTATGCATCTAGAACTTTGACTAGGGCTTTACAATATGGTCCAGAAATCCAAAAGATCAAACCATTAAGAGACAAGCGAGTAGAATTGGCCATACTTGGCTGGCTTCGGATCAACAAGAAGTTCAAATGTCATTCCAATGCACATTTCGAAGAAGTTATTTAAGGATGATTTACCCATGGTCAGTTGGTAACATAGTTAGGGGCAATTATGGGACCATGATTTTCTAGGCCCATGACATGTGAAGAGAATGATCAAAATGCCTGAAGCCCATGTAGCGTAGCCCCTAGGATAGGCTTAGCTCTATTAAAGATATTACTTGTCTCCCAAGAAAGGAAACCCTAGTTAAAGTCAAATTAGAATATCTTTGAGATTAGGCAAATATAATCATGATTCTAGAAAGATTGGGTATCATAGCTAGATTTCCTCCTATATAGTCTCCCAATTTGATGAAGATTACTTTCCCTACAAAAACTCTCAAGATCCCTCTCTTTCTCAGATCTATCTCTCTCTAGGACGACCTTTTTATTCTCTACAAGACTACCATATGCATCCACATCGCTCTCGATCTATCACTCTCTCTCAAACTTCTACAAACATATTCTCTCTATGCTTAGCAAAAGTCCTTATGCCGCCGTCTAAGCGTAAACACATTCATGGAGAACTCATCTCCCAACACCCTGCTAGGCTATTCGTCAAGGATGGTTTACTCCATTCTTTCTTATAACTATACTGGTGGTTTGATTCTCTTTCCCGGAGATATGTAGGCAGCCTTTCCCGGAATCAAACTCCCGCCCCCCTCTCATAGGAGATCATGGGCTAGTCCGACTAGATTCGCTTCCATCCATGGATGTGCGCAAATTTGGTTACAACAGGACGGAAAAATGGTTAGGATCAAGTTAGGTCAAGAGTTCATTTTTGTGGTTTCAGTTTTCCTGTAAAGTTGGAAACATATGAAGAAAATGCTGACTTCCAAGCAAATCCCATCCAAGCAAGTAGAGAGCCTGGACATTGCCAATAAGTCAAAATAACTGTTTCTTGCCTATCAAACATAACAAGCCGAAGCTCGAGGAACATAATCCAGCACTTATACCAAGCCAAGGTAAATCATGTGATCCAACTCCATTTAATTATAAACGTACAACATAGTAATTAAGAAAGCAAAGTGATGAGGCTCCATCCAGGTGACAAAGTACCGAAGCATGCTCAAATAAAAAGACAAAAGTATCCTAAATCACCTTAGAACCACCCGAGTCCGAGTGTATGTGGAACTAAAGGATTCCCGATTACTACAAATGCAAAGCTTCAAGTATATCCTACTACCAGTTATTCATCTGTATTGAAACTCTACATCAACATCAACATCAACCATCAAATCCTGCGCCTGAAACACGCATAAAAGCTTCAGTCTCGCATAATGTCTAATTTGAGGAACAAGATAATCAAATTGTACAACTTAAGTTGGTTCAAACTTACAATCCCAACCGCATGCTATGTAAACCCATTTGAATTAGCAAGGTAATATCGAGGTATAGGCAGGGTTAGACCTTTCAGTGCAAAGAAAGAAAGTGTAACTTGCCTTCAAAACTAACAGCAGCATCGCATAGACAAAAAGACTAGTCTCTGAGCTCTCTACTGAAAATTTGAGAAAGCCCTATACGGCCATTTTCATTTCTATCTTCTGATGAGGATCATAACCTATCAGTTGGAAATCAGCAGCCGCAAAAGAATCTATATTCTTTTTCTCAGGATTGATCTTCAAAATCTGCATTGAAATATAGGTAGGCAGCTGTAAATAAACAAGGTATATAACAGGGAGAAACGCGATAGAGAAATTAAGTAAAGTACACTTTCAAAGACCAAAAACAAGATCATGTATGTAACGTTATTAAACTTACTGGAAAAGGCTTGGGCAGTTTTTCAAGCTGCTCCTGCAAAGGCCTGATGTGAGTGCGGTAAACATGAGCATCCCCTAAGACATGAATGAAATCACCAGGAACAAGATCTGCACAAGATAAAAGTCTATTAAGGACTCTAAACACGCAACATCAGATGTAAGTTCTTAAATCCATCAGGTAGCAATGGAGAAAGAGGTGCCAGCTAAAAGAGTACTATTTAGAATGCATACCACAAACATGAGCAATCATGCATGTCAGAAGAGCATATGATGCTATGTTAAATGGAACGCCAAGGCCGATGTCAGCAGAACGCTGATACATTTGACATGATAACTCTCCATTGGCTACATAGAACTGCAAGGAGAAAGAAGGATGTAGTAAAACAAAAGAGATGTGATAATGAAATAAAAGTTATAACGCCTCAAGATAAACCTGAGCAAACATGTGACAAGGTGGGAGTGCCATCGATTTGAGATCAGAAGGATTCCATGCTGACAGTATAATCCGCCGATCATCGGGATTGTTTTTAATCTTGTCAATAACATCTAGCAACTGATCAAATCCTTTACCAGTGTAGTCAGCATGCATGTCAGTATACCTGTAACATGGAACAGAAATAAGTGAGTTTGAAACTAGACTTCATTACATAAATTAAATATCTAGAAGCTTAACTATACAGAAGTTTACCAACCTGGCACCAAAGTGTCGCCACTGGAATCCATATACTGGTCCCAAGTCGCCCTCTTCCTTGTCAGTTAAACCAACACTGTAGTGGCAGATACAAAAATCACTTAAAACTGCATAATACTTGGAAGTCCTCACACACATTTGGGCAGTCTAATACTTGCCTGTCAAGGTAGTCTCTAGATGCATTCCCATCCCATATGTGAATGCCTTTCTCCTGAAGGACCTGCCAAGTAGTCAAAGACTCAAATATAAGTATTATATATAGACGGAAGAACCTGCTTTCTTGCATCAAACTTCTCTGTGGGATGACGAAATCAATTGCATTTTTGTTGAAAATCTTGCTTTTTACAAACTAGAAAGTTGAGCATGGTCCCATAATCGTGGAAGCGAAAATAAAAATGTAACTTATGAGAACATAATTTAAATGCAAGAAGCTTCAAATGGTCCCCTTCAACTGCTGTAAATTCATAAAATTATAAACAATTTCAAAGCCACAGTCCTGAAAGCATCAAGATAAGTCATCTTTTTGTTTTAAATATACTGAGGAGAAACGACAAACACAAATTTCAAAATGCTCGACTTTGTACAGAAATCAACTTTTTATTAAAGGGGGACCCCAAGCCAACAAGGCTCCCGCTTTGCGAGGACACGGAACGTCTATCATATGCAGCCTTACCCTTGCTTTCCAAAGAGGCTGTTTCCACAAATCGAACCTGTGACCTTTTGGTCAAATTTTTAATAAGCTAGAAAAATCAACGCGCTCAGCTATAGTCCGATATGATGTAAAGACAATGAAACAAGGAAAAATATACATAGCATTCAAAAGGAAAAGGTTCGACGAAATCGTAATACCTTGGCATTTGTTGAACCACTGATGAACCACAGAAGTTCTTCAACAACCCCTCGCCAAAATACTTTCTATGGACCAAATTATCACAATGTAAGTCAGTTTGAAAAGGATAGAGAATCAAGTACCTAATAATCTAACCTCATGCCAAGGGAGTAAAATAGAATCTAATAAACTTGAAGCAACAGAGTAGGTTGAGAGAAAAACAGAAATCTGAAAAGGGATAATATGCATGCCTTAGTTGTCAGAAGGGGAAAAGTTCTTCGCAGATTAAACCGCATCTGTAGAGATACAAAGTAAATAAGTAAACATCAATTATCCATTTTATTGTTAAATGAAGGATAACAGGACTTTCTCAAAAATCTTAATTTAAGATTACCTGGCAACCGAATTTTGACAAAGTACCAGTCCCTGTCCTGTCATCCTTAGCAGTGCCATCAGAGAGTATTTCTCGAACCAACCTTAGATACATGTGCTCCTCATGTTTCTCAAAAATCATCTTCGGCAGAAAAGAAAAATTCTTCACCTCACACTTAATAGAGTCTGACTTACTATTAGAGTTCAGATCATTGTTTTCACAAAGGGATTCAACTGCAGAATTTCTTACACGAACATAAGTTGTGAAAGAATGACGAATGCCAATTTCAACCTTAGGAAAGGATGAACACCACGGCTGAAATACAGAGGAATCAATTGCAGGGATAAAAGTGTCACATTCAATGTTTGTCTCTATTTCTGTAATGTGAATGGCTTCACAGCCAGGCGCATTGAGAGCTTCCCTGGATACAGAAATTTTAATAAAAAGAAAAGAAAAATAAAGAAACATGGTTTAAACGAAATTAACAACAATGTCACACCTTAATATCTCGCCACCTCCAATGAGAAACACTTTCTCAATTGACAGACAGTAAGGAGAAGCAGCTAACAATTCCAAAGCAGATGCCATGCTTCCGCATATCACAACATTCTCTGCAGTAGCAATATCAAAACTCCCGGAACGAGTCAAAACAACATTAAGGCGGCCAGGTAGAGGTTGATGCTCAGGTAGAATGCTCTCCCATGTTTTTCTACCCATTATAATCGCATTCTTTTTCACAGGATCTGACGTGGTCACAGTGATGTCCTTAAAGAACTTGAGATCAGACGGCAGTCTCCAAGGCAGTTTCCCATCCTTTCCAATACCCATTTCTCGAGTCGCAGCCACAACAACTTGGTACGTTCTCTGTGGATTGGGTTGGGCATTACCATTTCCATTTGCACTCACCAACAATTCACCAGCCATAGTTGAACCCATGGACCGAAACTGCCTAAAATGAGAGCCGCACAGCCAATTATTCCAGAAGTGCAGTAAACCCTACAATGTAGCATAAATATGTTACGAATAACAAAATAAAACTAAATACAAAAGTGCGGACACGAGCATATGGCAATTGAACGAGAAAACAACACAGCAAATGAGATCAGAGAAAGTGCATAAGGTAATTGGGTACATTGTACTGGTAATTATCGAATTTCAAACAATTGGGGCATCTACATCAAAACCCACCAAATCCAATATTTCGATTATCTATAAATCAATATATAAACCATTAACAGAAACGTAAGTGTTACAACACAGTTACCGCTGCTACCGCCCATTTCGAAGTCAATCAGTGCAATTCAGGCGAAGCATTTAGTTAAGATTTTAGTGGATTTAACTAAGTTGTAATGCTATACTGTAAATTAGTTATTTATTAATTAAAATACAAATTAAAAAAAAAATAAATAAATAAACAGAACATTTGCAATTTTAACATATTAATCTGATGGTAAAACTTGCGTGGAAATGTGAAAACCAAATAGAGAAATTATGATCAGACCCAATCGAATAATTAGTCCAATAAAAACACAAATGCCACTAATTTCTAGCAGTTTAAACCCTATGACGGAAAAAAATACAGAAAAAATAAGTAAAGCAAACAAAAAAAAATAGAAATCAAGTATAAAATAATAGATCATACAAAAAAACAACAAAATCACACCCAGTTAAATCAAATAAGTAATATAATAAAGATAAAATTAAAAAATAAATAAATGGAATGGATTGGAATGGAATGCGAGAAGCAACTGACCGATCGTAACGCGAAGTGCGAAATCTTGGAGTGGGGGAGCAGCCAAGAGCAGCGGCAATCTAGGGTTTGAGAGCGGAAGGAGCGAGAGAGGGACTTGGAGAAGGCTGAAACCGCTTTCTTCGCTTTCAATCCTTTTCTTTCTTCTTTCTTTTTCTTTTCTCTGGCACTGACAAAAAAGGGCGAAAATGTAGAGAAAGTGGGGGAGAGGCAAGAAAAAGAGGAAAAGAAAAGAAAACAATTGGAATCAACAGCGATTGAGTGACATGTATAATCCAAATGCAAAAGGGCAGTTGACGCGGAGTTCCGCCAACGACTCTCTTCCGGAACGTGGGCGTGCCTACTTAAATGCCCCTGCCCACAATTCCACTATTATGCCAACTAGAACAATATTATCAACATAGTGCTATGTTTTAAAGCCCCGTTTTTACGTTTCACATCTTTATTAATTTTTTGCTATTAATTTTGTTGAATTCATTCAATTCTATGTTCAAAAATTGACAAGGTTTATAAGAACTAAAAAGTTATTTTTTAACGTTACTTTTTTTTAGTACATTCAACGCTATTTTTAGCTAAACTAAGAGCAAGTCCAGCCCAATTTAATAATTACTAGGTAATTAAATGAATAGTAATTGTCTGAATGTATTTTTATTACACGAATTGCCAATCAATTGATATTAAAAGGTTTTTTTTTTTTTTCAAATAAAATATAATAAAAGATCATTTTAACTTTAATCTTCGATAAAAAATTTAATCAATTTCGTGCGCTAAGCGTTCTGTTCATGTAAGAATTTGATAGGCCATCACACTACAATACCATGACCATAATTGTCAAAGAAGCTCCTCTAAGTTGGCGAGAGTCTATTGGGTAAGAAGTGACATAATAGTGACATTCTTCCTAACTAAGATAAAAGTGAACAGAACAATAAAATTCTGTTATATAAGAATTTACAAGGCAACTGTACCCAAGGAGAGATTTTATCTATTTGCCCCAAAACTCGGGCAACAAGCCATATATTATCTACAAGTCAAGAGAAATTTTTACGAGTGTTATTCCACTTATATAATGATAAATGGCGTATGTGCCTTTGTTTTCAACAAAACTTACCAATACCAATTTGTTATCAGTGCATTATCGAAAATATTGTTTCAAAATCAATAACGTGTCCGTTGTTTATTCAAGCGTAGTCAAAAGAAAATTTCTACCTATATCATACTTAAACAACAACGGCACTGGGTGTTGCGTATCAAATCTTCAACTGAAAACAAGGTGAAATTCTCTTGTAACCTGACCTTGTTTAGACCATGAATTGCTCATCAAAAAGATACACTCAATTTAGAATTGTTCAAGAAAAAAAGGTGCTCCAGAATAGTTAAAGAAACAAGCGATCCGTGTTTTCGATACCGTAATGCAAATGGCTCTGCAACTGGAAATGCTATAAATTTGATTGTGGAGTTGATAAAGGTTTGCAAATAGTTACATAAAACTCTTCACTGCTTATCAATCTTCTGTTCCATTTCCTCTCATGACAGCTACAGTCGAACTAGTAAACAACAAAATAAGGAGGTACAAATCACATTAAACGAGCTAACTTCGTATCCAAATACAAAAGTTCCGGAGTTACAACAAACCACCATGAATTAAGGGGAGATTCGGGCCTCTTTAGCTAGCGCTAACTTCCAATCTCTCACAATCAAAGACCGTCAAAGAATCGCATGTGGTCTTCAAATGTCTCTGCATGACGGATCTTGGCCACTGACCCATCTTCTTGAACCTGAAAACATTGTAAAAACTCTTAGAAACAAGTTACTGGAAAAGAGGATAGATATTGGTGTTACGGCGTAGGGATTGTTTGCAGTAACAATCACACACCCAATATTCTGGAGGACGCATTTTAAGATTGTAAGTTGAAGCCATGCTCATGCAGTAAGCACCTGCGTCGTGAACCACCAGACCAGCTCCCTGAAATGGCAACTTTAGTTCAGCAATCAAGCACCAAAATCCAAAAAGAAAACCTCCAGAACAGAATAACTGAGAACATCATCATCGTTTGATCTCCTAGTTGTACAATACAACAAATGATTATAGCTCTGACCTTCCAATAAAAAGTTTACAATTACCTTCGGTGGAGTTGGAAGTTCTCTATCCTTCCCTAAAAAATCTGCAGACTCGCAGACAGGGCCCACCACATCGAAAGTCGAAATCTCAGCATCAGGTGGTGTAGGAGCAACTAGTTCTATATGCTGCAAGAAAACTCCCACAAGTCAACTGAGATTTCAAGCCAATAACAAAATGGCAAGTCTTAAAAGAAGGGCATGATTAATTATTATGCGACAGCCAATGATTTGAGTCTAACATTATAGCAAATAAGGAAAGGAGTGTGAGATAAGGCAACTGAAATACACGACATTTGATCAAAGGTAAATCAAGAATGATGCATTCCAAATGGTATAACAGAAGCACAATAAGACACAGAAACAAAACTGATAACAGTAATTTTTTAGTGAATGAAGCTACTATAAGAAAGTTACTTACATACATACAAAACACAACATAAGATCCAAGAACCTACACCATGGATTACATTGAAATTTTTCTTGCACAACGAAAGGATTTCAATTGTTCATCATCTCCAGTTAACACTAATGACTGACATCAAAAGCAAGACTAGCAGTTGACCGCACTTGAAAACTTACTTGATAAGCATCATAGAGACTGGGACGAATAAGTTCGGCCATGCTTCCATCGATCACAATAAAGTTTTTGGTGCCATTTGTTTTGACACCTGTTACTCGGTTGACCAAGCTGCAGGTGTTTGCAATAACTGATCTACCAGGTTCAATGATAAGATTTAGACCTCGTGATAGGACCACGTCACGAACCTACACCCTCAGCATCAACGTTGAATAAATGTTAGTGAACATTCACATCAATCAAGATAGAAAAAACTTTTGATTCTCTTCAGTAGAATAACCATAAGGGAGCAAGCCCTAGGAAAATCCCTGAAGAAAGTCTTAAGTGTTTCGGGAAAAAATAGTCAATACTAGACCTGGCATATATGCTATGCTTATTGATTATTTGGGAACAAAAAGCTCGCAGAATGGTATGGGCAACTTAATCCCTTATAGCACTTACATGATCTTCATGAACCAACTCCATAAAGAGGTTATACATTCTTGTAATAAATGTAGAGGCAATGGTCATACATGGACTCAACAATCTAAAGACTCATCCTAAACACATCACATTTAACATCTGTGAGGTCCAAGGGATAGGACAAAGCCAGTAGTCTACACTTGAGATTTCAAGGAGCACCGTAACATGCATGTGCGTACTGCAGCATTAATAACTTCCTTTTTTATAATACTACATTAAGGTGTTATCCCATCACTCATGTACGCATGAATTGCATACCTAAGATAGAAAACAAGATTCGAAAGAGATCAAACTCACAGTGTTGATTAGATCTCTGGGTTTTGGAAGTAGGGCACCAGAATGATAATAATCTATCCCAAGTCCACCGCCGATGTTCAAGTAATCAACTTGAAAACCTTGAGACCGGATTTCATCAATGTACTTAACCATAAGAACAGCAGCATCCCGGAATATATCCACCTGGTAATACAAAAGGGAGGGGAAAGAGAGAGAGAGAGAGAGAGATATACTTAGACTTTGTAATCTGAGAAGTGGGTGTAGTCTGTCACAGAACATTAACAAGAAATCCACATATATTAAAATAGCATAGCAGAAAAAAAAAAACGAAGAATCATAAGTCAATCAGACTGAACAGAAGAAGGCGAAAGAGAAGGGCAGCTTATAATGCCTTCCAACCAACACTTACCAGCTGAATTTGAAATGGACAAATTAAACCTTTATTCACAAAAAGGTTCTTTATTTAAAGCTGTAACTCTGTTATTATGAAGCATAAACCAATTGATTTATGTTTCTTCTTAATGTGTTCTAGAATGACCAGAAACAAACATGGGTTTGAAAAATTTATCCTAGTTGAAAAAATTATATTGATAATATACAAGTATATGAACAAGTCATCAGCATACCTTGGTAATGGTGGATCCGAGATGACAATGGGCCCCAACAAGTTTTAGCTCATCAGGATGTGCCTTCACAGCATCCAAAAACCATTGCAGCTTCTCATTTCTAATACCAAATTTGGAATTCTTGTTCCCAGTGGCAACGTAAGCATGAACCTATGAAAACAACACATATTAAAACAGAACACAAAACAGAACATAAATGAATTAAGATCAATGTAAAGTTCAAATGCTCAGTACAGAGAACTTTACAATAATATTCAAAGGATGTGCCTTTACAAAAATATTCAAACACTAGCCTAAATCTGCAATTGAAGTTGGAGGAACTGGTGAGTCATGGTGGTTTGGGTACAATCTGTCCAGCATGGCCCATACCAAGCGTCTGTCTACATTTGTTTCTAAGAAATATAAAAGGGCATCACATTCAAATAAGTGTAACTATCTGAAGCACTACCATTGGTAAAATTGAATTCACTTCCTACAAAAATAGAAGTGCATATGTGGTGCTCATGGTCTAAATTTTTAGGTTTTTTGTGTCAGTGTCCGTGTAACATCATAAACAGTCTTCATTGCCAAAGCTACATAGCATGGGTACTGATCCCCTGGTAGTTGGAAAACACTCTTCACAACCACAGAACTATGTGGGACTAGGGAAAATATCAAACTTGCCATAATGGTTGTCGCATTATTATGAAACTAAAAGTATGCAGTCATGGCAATAACACGGCTGGTTAGCTAAATAATTAAGAACAAAACTTAAAGTACAGATGATATTAATCATTCTATAAAGTTAACATGGAAAAACTATTATGAACTGGTATCAAATATAACACAATAGGAATTCTGATTCTTATCAAATTCCTTGTTAATTATTAAAAGATTATCTCACCATGAACCATATTATGCATCAAACACATTCTATAACTTGAAATATTCAGGAAACGTGATTCTCAAGTTATGCATCAAGAACCTTCCTAAGTTCTCATTGATATAATTTTAGCTCAAGCGTCACAATATCAAATAATGACTTTCAGTTAAAGATTTATGTCCTAATTTTTACAAAAAGCATATCAAACATCTCAT